ATGCACCACTTGTCAAGCCATACTGTGGCAGCGTCCCATATAAAGTAGAGGAAGATGGGCACAGATGTTAGCCCAGGGCCAATCTTCCTCAGCAAAAAAAAAGAAGTTCAAGCCAGGATTTTAAAATTCTAAGCCTAACATCCTACCTTTACATTTAGAATTTAGTCTTTTTTAAGTGTCCATGTATAAAAATCTATAAATTTGAAAATCACTAAATGTTGCCCTCAGATAAGCTTTATCTTCAGTAAGTCACATGACCTTTGAACCTCCACTTAATTATTAGGTGTCAGTGCTGGTTTAACTTATTTAAAAAATGTTTCAAGTATTTATTTATCTCATACTTTTAGTGTCTCAAATGTAAAAGCGATTTAGAAAATAATTTACAGGGTAAAGTCAATGCCCTTTTAATGTAACAAATATGTAATTTTTTTAAAACTTGCATGGAAGCCTAGTGTATTTAACAATAAATTATGCTTTACTGTATAGTATTAACCTATACCAATTTTAAGTTATGATACAGGAAAGAGGATGTTTGTCAGCAGAACTGTCTTGCTGTAGCACTTTTTTTTTTTAATATGCCCACATTATAACTCTCATTATAATGCTCGGGAGTCAGCATAAAGCCTCGTTGCTGTACCAGGAGACTTTCCCAGTCACAGCAATAGGATACTGATTCACATGCATGCAGGCAACTCAGACTCAAGTGGAGAAACTGTTGCGTTTGTGAACAAGTCACACTACACATGTCCTATTATGTGCATGAAGGGAAGTGGCAACATCTTTTCCCATGGGAAACACTAAGAGAAAACCCTGGATCAGAATGATCTGCAGTTTCAGATAATGAAGGCTTTTAAGAGATGTTTTTAGGATTAAGGATGTGCTAATTTTATGAAATGAAAATATTTGTAACTTTTACTCATACTGACAAAGCAAGTTTCTCAATAAAATACCTATTTTAACTTGCATTGCCAACATCTTTTCTTTGAGTAATGTGAATAATGCAGAAGCCATCACAGAGGTCTTTCGTATAAGTTTTCAGTGTTTTCTTAAATGGGTCTCCTGAGATTGTTCTGTTCTTCTTGACCCTATGGGATGTGTGCACAGGGCCTTGCCGAATTATGCACTCAGTAAACAGTTTTTATTAATGAGTCATAACATTAGAGTCCTTTTCACATATTTCATAATTTTTAATATGCAGGGTCACAGCTGGGAAAATTCTCTGATACAATTTTGATTAAAATCTCCTTTTATACTAATCTTCAGCATGGCCAACTGTTCTTTGTTCTCAGTAATTCCATGCCTAGCTTGTGCTTAAATTTCAATATTTTCAGAATAAGGTAAAAAGTGTGCTTGGCACTTTAAGAATAATGATTAATGATCAGTAAGTTTCTAAAAGCAAGAAAAATGTAAAACTATTATTTTACATGTTTGCTATGCAGCAGAATACAGCTCTTAGTTTTTGCCCCTTCATATCTCATAACATGTAAAACACTAAATTACTTTAGATCACTGGACATAGTTAAGTGAAGAGTGATGGAAACACAGTTCAGGATAAGAAATATTATCACCATTCTTCAGGAAAACACGGGATGATAAATTTCTGCAATTGGTATGATAATAAAAGCCTGAAGTAATTAATTAAAAAGACAAAACAGTTACTCTGTAGAAGCTGGTTTTGGGCAAATTTTACAAGTAGGAACTAAATTTCCAAAATTCTAGGCTGTATAATTATTTCCAGGGCAAAATTTTTGGTTAAAGATTAATATATAAATTAATGTTTTCATCAAAGATCAAAACAAACGAGCTTTCTCTAAAATACTCAGTGTATTAGATTATTCCATTGGTTTATTACATAATGGTAAATAATAAACCACATCATTTAATGGTTGACCAAAAAAAGCTTAATTTCTGTATTTTTTACTCTTAAGAAACATGAAATTTAAGAAAACCTTAAATTTTCTAAAATATACCACAAGGCATTAGTTACCCACACAAGTACCAAAGCCCTAATACCATATTGGATATATAGAGTGAAAGTCTCCCAAACTGTTTTATAAATTAATTCACATGTCCTTATAATAATCCTTGTCTTTATCTGGGGAGTTACTATTCCCATTTTGGATATGGAAAAAGGCAACAGGTTGACCTGAGACTTATCCAAGGCTACCAAAGTGGACAGACAGGTTGTCTAGCTAATGTTCTCAACTTTACAGGCAGAGAAGAGGACTGTGTAAATTCTTTCCATCAGTACTTGAATGTTCATTTAACAAATATTTATTGAGCATCTAGCTTGTGCCAGACACAGTGTTGAACACTGAGCACACAAGAGTGGGAACAAATATGGTTCCTATCCTCATAAAGCTTCTATTCTACTGTTGAGACAGATGTTAAATATATAATTGCACTTGTGATCAGGATCACATGTGGCTCTAAGAGTATGTAACAAGAGACTTGACCTTGTGGTATGGGGAAGACTTCCTGAGGAAGTCATGTTTCAGCAAAACTCTAAATGATGAAAAGAGCTACTTTATATAAAGAGGAGCACATGGAATGAATGGTGCAAGCAGCGGGTACATGACGCAGGAACTGGGAACATTCAAGGAACTGAAAGAGCAGCAAAGTAGAAACTTAAAAAACAATGGTGAAAGTGTAATAAGATATAGATGGGAGCAGATCAGCGGGATCTTGTTAGCAGTCATTAAGCATTGGGACCTACCTTAATAAGTCTTTACAAGAGTTTTAGACTCAACAATAGGAAAACGAACAACCTGATTTTAAAAATGAGCAAAAGATCTGAACAGATACCTCACCAAAGAAGATATACAGATGGCAAATAAGCATATTAAAAGATGCTCTGCATCATATGTCATCAGGGAAATACAAATTAAAACAATGAGATACCACTACACACCTATTAGAATGGCCAAAATCCAGAACACTGACACCACCAAATGCTGGCAAGGATGTGGAGCAAGAGGAACTCTTCATTCCTTACTGGTGGAATGCAAAATGGTAGTCACTTGGGAAGACAGTTGGCAGTTTCTAACAAAACTAAACATACTCTTCCATCCAGCACTCATGCTCCTGGGTATTACCCAAATGAGCTGAAAACTTATGTCTACACAAAAATCTGCACATGGACGCTTATAGCAGCTTTATTCATAATTGCCAAAACACGGAAGCAACCAAGATGTCCTTCGGTAGTGGATATCAGCAACCAAGATATCCAGACAATGAAATATTATTCAGCACTAAAAAGAAATGAGCCATCAAGCCATATGAAAAGACATGGAGGAAGCTTAAATGCATATTAGTAAGTTAAAGAGCCAATCTGAAAAGGCTATATACTGTATGATTCCAACTATATAATATTCTGGGAAAGGCAACATTATGAAGACAATGAAAAGATCAGTGGTTGCCAGGAGTTAGGGGAAGGGAGGGATGAATAGGTGAAGTACAGAGGATTTTTAGGGCAGTAAAACTACTCTGTATGCTACTATAATGGTGGACATATGTCATTATACATTTGTCCAAACCCACAGTGTGTACAATGAGTGAACCCTAATGTAAACTATGGATTTGGGATGATAATGATGTGTCAGTGTAGGTTCAACAATTGTAACAAGGTACCACTCTTGGTGTGGGATATTGACAGTAGGGGTGCTGGGACAAGGGGTATATGGGAACTCGGTACTTGCTGCTCAATTTTGCTCTAAACCTAAAACTGCTCTAAAAGATAAAGTCTATTCAAAGAAAAAAAAGTTTTAGGAGGGAAATTCATGGTCAGATTTAAGTTTTTAATAGATCACTCTGGCTGCAGTGACCCACGTGGATAGAGATAAAGAACAAAAATGGTTGTAGAAGAACAGTTAACTGCAGTGGTCCAGGTGAGAGGCGGTGCTAGTTTGGTGTAGGATGGTGTCGAAGGAGAAAGTGAAAACATGCTGGCCCTAGAGCGAGAAAGAAGATTGAAGTATGTGTCCCTGGAGAAATCAAGGAACTTGCTTACCCCTTAGTTTCCTCATATCTTAAAAAAGAGAGAGAGGTGAGGTATATGGAGGTTGGCAGAGTCTTCATGATTTAGGGAGAACCTATCACTGAACCATAGGTAAGGCAAACACAGAATCAACTGAGTACTTAAGACAGATATCTTTACTTTTGTAATGGCAGCCCTGTATTAGATAAGAGCAGTATCAGGCAGATTATGGTTTTTATGAGAAAACTTAAAAAAAAAATAATTTCCTAGGCACTCTTTAAATAAAATGATATACCACTTTAGTAATAATCCTAATTGCAATGACAGTGACCAATAAATATGATAATGTAATAAAATACTTAAAATGGACATTTCTAGAAACTAATAAATACATAGTGTTATTTTGAGTTGGATTTTTTGTGTTTATATTTTCAACTTTGAGTCTTACTTGGTAATCTCTATGTAACTTGAACAAAGTTTTATAAACTTTGGGCAGATATTATTACTCATTTATAATGTTCATAATGTTCATAATACACTAATAATTCTATTTCATTGCCACTATCTCATTCCTGTCCCTGTTTTTACTGAGTGAACAGAAGTAAAAGATGAAAGAAACAGTATCTCCTAAGGTCTTGGTTTCCTTATCCCATTTCCTAATCTCCCAGACAAGCTCTTCTAAAAATATTAACATAAAAGCCGATTAAAGGGCATGGGAAAAAAAATGCTAGATAAATTAGAGCCAAAAGCTCATTGGTCAGCCGGGTCTTGACAAAGAGCATGTCTGAGTTTAATAAAAGTGCATTTGCAGAATTAATACACTGTAATAAGACTTATTGTGTAAATCTAGAAAATTTTATTTGAATTGGTTAATATTTGCCTAAAGCACAAAAATTCATTACTTAAGACAATATTTTCCATTACTAAAGAAAAATCTACTTTCTTGTTGTAATTGAGAAAATTATTTGAGGACAATACCTAATTATAATAAACATAAATCCATGCATTATTTTAATGTTTCATGTTTTATGCAGAATTGACTATTTAATTATTGTGATTTTTAAAAAGGGTATTGTAGCTAAAAAATATAACACAATTTGGTACCTGAAGTAACACCTGGCTATCCCATGATATATGTGTCCAATTCCAATGCTGTTTTCTTTCTCAATATTTCAGCAAGGCTATATGTAATTTTAATAGTCAAGCTATCACTTGAATGCTATTAAAAAATAATCAGATCTGCTCAAACTAGATTTATATCACTTAACATCCTGACTTTGAGGAAAATTGCTGACCATTTATATGGTCACTAAGAAGTAATATTTGACTTATAAATTCTAATCTCATCTTCTGTACACTGAGGAAAGAGATTAACAATTTTATCCATATCAAGATGCTTATTTTGAAGGACTGATTCCATCTCTTTGAATAGTTCTTTCTCCAGTTTCCTCATGTTGTCCAACATTGTTTTGGCTTTTTCCTGAACAATTAAAAAATAAAAATAAGTAAACACATGCACGCATGCACACATAATTCTAAACAAATTCCAACCCACCTCTACAGACAAGGTTTGTTCATTCTGGTTTCTACTTCTGGTTTGGTTCCCCTCCTTCTTCAGATATAGAAGGAAAAAAATTCTTTGGGAAAATCACTGTTCTAGATTGAGTTAATGTATCAACCCCAAATTATTAGTTATTTTTAGTAGGAAAAACAAGAGTAGTTATGTAGGATTAGTCTATAAGCAAGAAACCTAAAAGACAAATAACAGGACAAGGGAAAATCTGATATTAATTGTGTATGGGGAAGGTTGCTGAAAACTGAGGCTAAGATACTTTTACAAATTTGGATCTTCTATATTTAAAACCAATATTATCAGATAAAACGAAGTAAAAAGAGTAGTGTTCAAGGGAAAGAGCAATTAAAGGAAAAGACATTTTCTCTGATTCCTCCTTGTTTCAAAAAGGGGACAAAAAGGTCATGACTCTTATAGGAAGGAGCAATTTTTAAGTTATTGCTCAATTACCATGATCAGTTATAGGGTAGGTACTGAGAGATGAAGTATATAAGAAAGTTACTAGAAAGTGAGCATAATTTTAAAAATTTGAACCATTATAGGGCAGAACTCCACAAAACAAAGATTCTTAACCTTAACATGGACTTCAATATGAAACTATGCATTTTTTTCTGAAGAAACCCTGCATTTCATATCAGTGGAGAAAAAAATGGATTTTGTCTATAAATGGTATTGGAATAACTGGTCACCTCTTTGGAAAACAAAGTTAGAATCCCTACTTTATGACATACACAAAAATAAATTTCAGATGAATTAAAGAACTAAATATTTTTTCAAACACACACATACATACTGGAAGAAAACACAGAAGTTATGTTTATTTTGAGGTAAGGCAGGTCTTTTGAAGCATGAAATCAAATTACCTTAAAGAAAAGACTACCAACTGTAATGGACTAAACTAAAAATTTTTGTCTGACAAAAAAGTTAAACAATAAACTGAGATTAAAAATTTGCAGTATAACAAAGACTTAATATTCACATATTTTTGCCTCTTTGAGGCAAAAGACAAAAACAACCAAGAATCAATTGAAAAATAGGCTAAGGAAAAGAATAGGCAAGTCATTTAAGGGGAAATACTAACGGTCAATAAACATATGTGAAGATTTTCAACCTCATTAGTAATCAAGACATGTAAATTAAAATGACTAGTAGGATTGATTCTCCCTAAGACAGGAAAATAGTTATTTACAGAGCCAGGACTAGAACCTAACTCTTCGACACTTTTTCCCTCAAATTCTATTGTCTTTCCACTACTTTATGTTGTCAATCAACATTTAATGCCTATTAAATAAAGCCTAAAATGGTAACAGCTTTTAAATTTTTATTACTTAGAAAAATGTCAATCAGCAATTTAATTTAGTTTAACAAACATTTAATAGTAAGTCTACAAAACCCACCTCTCAGAAGCAGTATTGAGGGGGAAAAGGAGCTGAGAACTCTTGAGAACTATCATAAGCGATGAAGGCAGTGTGAAGGCTGCTCAGGGAGGAGTGAGGGAAAATCCCTCCAGAGCAGACGCTCTTGAAACATATCACTGAGGAACTTGAGCAAATACAAGAAGAACAAGAAGGCTTGTCATTTTTCACAGCACTGTGCTGAGTCTGGAGGATAAACCAAGCCCACGGAGTGGATGACACCTCTGGCCTGGTGGATTGGATCCTACACTTACTGGGCTCCTAGAACAAAATGCTTGCCTCTCACTCCATTCCAGCAGGCTAAGAAAAGTGTTTACACTGTAGGTCAGAGGTGAAAACAAACTGCTCCCAGACAAAGCAGGACTAGTGTCAAGAAAGCAAATAGGAGGTCTGGACAGAGCTCTCTGCTTTAAGCATGAGCAAGATGAGGGGAAAGGCATGGCAACAATGCCAACATACTACAGACAAAAGTAAATAAATAATTACCCAGAGGAAAACTCATTTAATTCATATAATGTAGAAAGAATGTAAATGTATAGACCTTGGTGAAGTAAAAGGAACTACAGGCAATAAAAATCAGGAGCTGGTAGATAACAGGCGAGAAAAGGTATAAAATGGCCAATCTTCTCCTTCGTTGCAGGGAAATCAATGGATGGTTCGGTGAAAAGTCTTTAGGAAGCCTTTCCATCTCCTTTTAATCTATGGTTTTTCCTCTGGGGTGGAGAGGGAAGAGGGTAGGAGGGCTGAAGAGGTATGGGTATTACAAAAACATTTGTATATCCATCTGTCTATTTGCCCCCCAAAAATACATCTGCTTATTTCTGGAGATGAGATTTTGGGTGATATGTTAATCTTTATAGTGCTTACATTTTAAAATAATAAGCATTTATTATTTTTGTAAAACTCAGACTCATTATTAAGTCTATGGGGTGTTAAGTCACTTTCAATTAAAATTAATCTTAGGCCAATTAATTAATGATTAAGAACATTACGTAAGAGCCCAGGCTTTGTAACTTTTGATGTGAGATATATACTAAGCAAGCTACTTAAACTTGCTACCTACCTCATAAAGTTATCGTAAAGATACAATGAAATATTCCATGGAACGGTCCCATGGTGCTTGGTGTATAATAAGAGTTCAAGAAATGTTAGCTATTGATACTATGTTTAATATACCACATTTCTCTAAAAGATTCACAACACATTCGTAACCATTGTTTTTAACCAAAAGTAAAAAATAATATAGGGCCGGCCCCGTGGCTTGGTGGTTAAGTGAGCGCGCTCCGCTGCTGGCGACCCGGGTTCGGATCCCGGGCTCGCACCGACGCGCTGCTTCTCCGGCCATGCTGAGGCCGCGTCCCACATGCAGCAACTAGAAGGATGTGCAGCTATGACACACAACTATCTACTGGGGCTTTGGGGGGAAAAATAAATAAATAAAATCTTTAAAAAACATAATAATAATAATAATAATAATAATATAGCTCTACAGTCTAAGCATCTAAACTATTATTAAAACTATTTTTATATGAAGGAAGGAAAAAAAGCTGAAATTCCAAAGTTCAAAATACGGATTGAATCACATTTTAAACTATTCTTAATGATAAAACAGAGAATATAATCTAATCATACCTCTTTATTATCTATTACTCCCAATGCCTGTTGATGTTTTTGATAGAGTGGGTGTCTTCTGTCAGGTTTACTCTTAAAATGTGGCTTCTTTTTAACTGCATCTTCAAGTTCAAATGTTGGTGAACTGGTGTCCAATAGTTGTGAAATATTCGGCACAAATATGAAAGGCTTAAAAACAGACCTAGAAAAAAGAGTCTTTATTAAATTGGCATGTGGGGATATAAAAATATTCAGCATTATTCTAAATATTCTAAGATTCCCTCTAGTTAGAAGTTTCTATTAAGTTGTTAACACACTAATTTGTTCTGTTTTGCTAGTTATACCAACACCTGTCTTCCCTGCTACACTGGGATCTCCTTTGGGGCAGGGGGCCACGCTTTATTTAGCCTTATATTCCCATGACCCTAACAAAGGGCTTGGCATATAAACAATGTCAAGTGAAATTATACTGCAAACTCCACAGCTGGAAGGTAAGAACAATCCTGAATGTTATAGATTGAGGATTAGGATTTGGGATGAAAATCAGCAGCAGTATTAATAAGGAGGACACAGGCTTCATTTCATTTTCTTGAAGATATCTTCAATAATACGAAAGACTATAACACTAAGAGAAAGTGAATGTAAGGTCATTTCTAAATGTAATGTGCATTAAGTTTTATGAGAGATATGAATGACTGAAATCAAGATGGTCTACACAAATCCTACTTAAGATATAACTTGAACTACTGATATTTTTTACATGTATGTATTTTCTAGCTATGAGTGCATAAGTAACAATCTAAATCCAGCACAACTACATCATTTAACCTTTTTACTAACTGTTTTTAATCATGTCATACTGTAATCTAGAATCTGCATAAGAAAACCTATCTACTTTCTTTTCTTGACAATGTTCAATATATTTGGAGAAAGAGGGAGTAGGGATAATCACAAATAAGAAACTATTAAGATAGTTAAGATTTTCATACCATAAAAATGAGAATGGTTATGGCAGTTATACACACACGGAAGTAGCTGACTAAAACCTGAACAGAAAATGCATCCACAAATTATTGTCATATTTGTGTAACAAAAATTTAGCCTGACAAAATCATCAACAGACTACTGATTCTACGCTATCCCCTGACCCCTTGCTGGTTTATAGTATTTTGTGACTTTACCTCTCAGGATCAGGAGTCCCTGTAAAGAAGTGAATGCAAGGAAGGCTGGAGTCTTGAGGTAAAACAGAGACCATGCTTGCCGTGGTCAGGAATTCTCCCTCCATATTAATGCCACTTGGTTTATCTCGGAGAATTTCCATCATTGTTTCAAAAGTTATGTTTCCTAGGGAAAATTTTTAAAATCATCAAATACATATGAATTTGTATTTGCAGGTTGGTATCCTGCAAATATGAACTTCTTTCCCTACTGATAATATATAACTAAGATATTGGCCTAGGTATAAATCAAATAAGAGATTGACTATAAACAAATCTTGTATCATAACTGTAATTAGACTCATTCCACTGTTGCAAAGAAGATATTTTTTAAAAATATACAAAATCTCAAAACCATTATAACATATAGGTAAAATCTATGTAATTTCTTAAGAAGAAGGACTCAACAATGCAAAAATACACTCAATCTTATTGCCCTTACAAAATTTTTTAAGGTGTATTTAGTTAGCAACGAACTGATGATATCAATAACTATTATCTGAGTCTATCCGTTCTGGAAACCAAATATTAAGAGAACATTTCGCTTAGTTTCCAACATTATACAAGATGTTCTTCACAGAATAACAAATTATTTTTCCTGTAATAATTTCTGTGCCTTAAATTAATACTCGTATATGAAAGTGTGAATTGTAACCTGAGAGGGAATGAAGGAGACAAAAAAGATTATTGGTTAATGGAATGTGTATGTGCATAATTCTGCTGGACTACTTTAAAAGTTTAAATGTCCATTGTGTGTGATGAAAATAGATGGCATTATACCCTGTTTTCTGCTTTCCTGTGTAAAGTTTGATACTTTAAGATTTTTTGAGAAAAACAGAAAAAAATCTATCATTTCTTTAGCAAACACAACATGTCCATGGTTACAGAGAGCATCAGAATTCCATATTTGGAAGGCATTTTCACCAGAAAATTTAAAAAGTCAATCATGCCTTCAGACAGCTCTGCTCCCTGCTGTGCATATCCGCAGTCAAAGATATGGTTCGGGATCTAACTACGTCATGACAAGATTGAATATCTTACCCCTACACAATGCAATCTCCAAAGGTAGCCAAACATCTTCTCACATGCCATAATTCTCTTCTCCAAAATCTATGATTCTCAATTCCTCCTGAATCAAATTAAAACTGCTTCAAACTAAAACTTACTACTAAGCTTAACTGAAATAACCTTTTCCTCTCCATCTATAAGCTTTCCTGATCTTCTGTTTATATTGGTCCCTGCTCTGCCATTAGATTATAAGTTCTCTAAGGACAGAAATGGGGTTTTTCTCTGTTTACTTCTCTTCATTGAACAAATATTTATTGAGCACCTGTTAAATGCCTAGCCTAGGCAACGGAGAGATAGGTAGATAGACAGACAGATAGATAGATATTGATAGCTACAGACACAGATATATAGATGTGTGAATGTAAAGAAGTGAAAGTCCTCTGATCCAATTTCAGTTGAGGTAACCACAGTTAATTCAAAAAGGATCTTTCCTAAAGAGTTTCAGAATAGGTTTAAAAGTTTTCCTTCGAATAAATATAAGAAATTCTCATTATCGAAAGAAAATTGGTACCAGAAAATTGCCACTTACAGCAACACATATATAATGAGAATCAAAATTTCTTGGTAAATAGTGGAGGAAAAGGATTGATTGAGTCTTTAAAGTGAAATAAAAATATTACAAAAATAAATTTATATAAGCTTAAAGTTAACAAAATTGAGGTTAAAATTTTAATACGCTAACTCTGAGAACGAAGAATGAATCAAGTGTAATTTTTCCAACAAAATAGTAAGACAATGCAACTTTATTTGATTATTGCAGCATGATCAAAAAGATAATTTCTGCAAAAATATATGTGGACGTCATCAAGTTTCTCAAGCCCCTCTCCCAGTGCTTTAATATTCAAATCATTTTCTTTTGAAGCACTTGGTCATGTTATTGTCCTCAGTTTTTTCTTCAGTTGTTAATAAGTAACTCTGCCCATTTTTGTTAGTGGCTTTGTATGTGACTTAAGCAATTATCCAACATTACTGTCATTGACTTCTTGAAATCTTGCATCTTTTACAAGACTTTCAGTTTGTATTTTATTTATTGTGTTGTTGAATATTTAACAATCATTAAGAGACTGATCAACAAAAATGCTGACAGCAAAGTAGAGGAGAATGATAGTGTTAAACTGCAAAAGACATTTGAATGAGGACTAATTTTATAAAGAGACAGTTCATCAGTGATTATCCTATGTTTTAAGACTACTTTTGCTTCCATATACAACCCTTGTAACTTTGAGGCATTGGACTAAAAATTCAGATAAAATGGAAATCCCTCCTACAATCCATCACAGCTTTCTGCAATGTTTGCTTCACTAACCAGCTGACATATGACTAAAATGAGGTCTTATTTTTTAGAATGTACCTACCTTTCCCAATTTTCTTATATGGCCTCCTAATTTTATATGCTTGCAAAAAGTTTATATTTATAAAAGTATAATTCTACCAGAAAATTAAAATACGACCACTGACACACCATAATTACCTACCTGAAAAGAGACTAGATTTTAACTACAAAAAAAAATAAGATATCAGTGAAGTGTCCCATTAAATAGATGAAAATACTCGGCCATTTTCTTATAGATCAAAAACAACCAATTAGCAAATATAATAGAAAAATATCCCATTCACATTACCAGCAAAAAATATAAAATATCTAGAAAAAAACTTAAAAGTCAACGTGGAAATCAGTAATCTAAGCTCGCACCTTAACAAACCAGAAAAAGAAAAGCAAAATAAACCCAAAGCAAGCAGAAGGAAGGAAATAATAAAGAGCAGAAATCAATGAAATTGAAAGCAGAGAAAAAAGAGAGAAAAATCAATGAAACAAAAAGCTGGTTCTTTGAAAAGATCAATAAAATTGACAAACCTCTAGCTAGTCTGACAGAAAAAGAGAGAAGACACAAATTACAAAAATACCAACATCAGCAATGAAACAGGGGTATCATGACAGATCCTGCAGACATTAAAGCACAGTAAGGGAATACTACAAATAACTCTATACACATAAATTGACAACTTAGAAGAAATGGATCAATTCTTTACAAGTACATACTACCAAAATTCACTCAATATGAAACAGATAATTTGAAGAACTCTAAAACTTTTAAAGAAATTGAATTTATAGTTAAAAAATTCCCAGAAAAGAAATCTCCAGGCCCATGGTTTCACTGGTGAATTCTATCAAATGTTTAAGGAAGGATTAACTCCAATTCTGCACAATCTCCTCCAGAAAATAAAAAAGGAGAAAACACTTCCTGACTCATTTTATGAGGCAAATATTACCCAGATTGCAAAACCAAACAAAGACAGTACAAACCAAACAAAACAAAATACAGACCATTATCTCTCATGAATATAGATGCAAAAACGCTCAACAAAATATTAGCAAATAGAACCCAGCAATATACAAAAAGAACTATATACCATGACCAAGCTGGGTTTATTCCAGGGATGCAAGTTTAGTTCAATATTAGAAGACCAATGAAATCTACCATATTAACAGGCAAAAAAAGAAAAAGGATCATATCAATTGACAAAGAAAAAGCATTTGGCGAACTTTAACATCTATTCACGATAAAAATTCTCAGCAAACAAGAAGTAGAGGGGAACTTCCTCAACTTGATAAAGTTGATAAAGTGCATCCACAAAAAGCTACAGTGAACACTATACTTAACGGTAAAAGACTAAATGCTTTTCCCCTAAGACTGGGAACAAGGCAAGGACATCTACTCTCACCATTCTTATTCAGTATAATACTGGAAGTCCTAGCCAGCACAATAATGCAAGAAAAGGAAATAAAAACCGTACAGATCAGAAAGGAAGAACTAAAACTATCCCTATTTGCAGATGACATAATAATCTCTATAGAAAATCCCAAGGAATCTACAAAAAAACCTCCTAGAACTAATTAGTTTAGCAAGGTCACAGAATACAAGATCAACATACAAAGAAATAATTGAAACAATTTGAAATTTTGAAAAACAGTTCTCATTGAGGAACAATTTATTTAAGCTCTGTAGAAGAGAAATAGAGACATCGTCATCTTGTTTAGGTTGCAATTGCAAATATTGTAGGTCCAACTTCCCTTCTATAATCTATTCTAAAGAAATAATTTTGAAATGCAGAAAAATCTTTTCTTTTTTTGGTGAGGAAGACTGGCCCTGTGCTAACATCTGTTGCCAGTCTTCCTCTTTGTGCTTAAGGAAGATTGCTCCTGAGCTAACATCTGTGCCAATCTTCCTCTATTTTTTGTATGTGGGATGCTGTCACAGCATGGTTTGATGAGCAGTATGTATGTCCGCGCCTGGGATCTGAACCCATGAACCTCAGGCCACTGAAGCAGAGTGTGGGAACTTAACCACTACGCCACTGGGCCAGCCCCCAGAAAAATCTTAATGAACACAGATGTTCACTGCAACATGATTTACAGTGGTAAAAGATTGGAAACAATCAAATAGTGAACAATATATTTGTTACTTGCGTGTGTCCTCCCCTCCGCTATTCACTATGTTCCAGAAGGTCACAGACCATGTCAATCATGCCTGCTGCTATGTGGCCCCATGCCTAATACAGAGCAAGTGCTCACAAAAGATTTCTTTGACAAAAAAAAAAAGCCAATATGGAAAACCTAGATAAATAAAACTATAAAAGTCTACTTAGGAACACAAAAGAAAATTTCAATAAATGGACAACCATATCTTGTTCTTGAATAGGAAGACAATCTTATTAGATGTCCATTCTCCCCCTAAAATAATCTATAGTTTTAATTCAATTCCAGTCAAACCTCAAAAAGATTTTTTTGGGAGAAGCTCAAAAATTATTGTAAAATTCATTTGGAAAAATGAACATTCAAAGATTGCCAGGAAATTTCTGAAAAAGCAGAGTAATGATGAGGTACTTGTCCTAACACATTAAAAAAAAACAGTATTGTAAATTCACTCAGATTGTTCTTTGGCTCATAAAACAAGTATCGAGCACTTACTATGTACACTTACATTGTTCTAAACAAAACTGGACAAATACAGTAATCTAATTTACACTTGGGTTTACTTAGGAATTTAATATTTGATA